TCCTTCCTCTATTATTGACAATCATATATTATTTAATATATATAATAATATAATCCCACAAAAATGTACTATTTACTATAACTTAAAGTTTTTATTTCCCATTTTATCAGCCTGTAAGTGACCCGTTTTAATTCTATAATGCACTTAATTATTATTTAATTCAGTGATATAATTATTATTGAATTATCATGAATGTTATATTTTTAAATTTTTATATTTTATCTATTTAATTTTACTTTTAGGCAACATGTCATTAATTTTCAAGAGATAGTAATAGTCAGACACACGAGTGTGTACCGTGTACAGAAAAGTACAAAAGTGTGGTTTGAAGTACTGTTAAGGCCTTGCTTGTTGACTATGGTACTGCTAGCCAGCGCTTCGTAGTACTGCTGGTTACTCATCAGAGTGTGCATTCCCAGGATGGCTGAAAGAAAGACAGAAGATGAAGTGAACAGGGGGATAAACAAGAGGGTCAAATAAGGACAACATGTAGAATATACAACTGCTAAAAACATTTGACAGGAAACAGTAGTTGTCTCATTAAATCTACATTTTGGACAACCATGCGACATGAACAGCAGGTTGACAGATGAACTCGCAGCTTTGGGCGGAGTCGATTCCCACCAACCAAGCAGTAACACGCTCTATGATGCAAGTGTGCTGCTATTGTAACTTAAAACAGAGTAGACGGACATGAAGAGACATACATGAGAGCACAAGACATAAAGAAAATGGAATATGTCTTCCAAATGTGTCACTGCTGGTAACCAGAGGGATCAGCTGCGTCAGAACTGGCCTTACTAAACATCCAGAGAACACATGCCGTAGGTCTTTGTGGGACAGTGAGACTGAGGACACTGAGGACTAACATTATAGGTTTCATTATGAAGATTTATTGATTTATTCAAGCCAGGACTGTTATAATCATTTTTCAAAATTAATTAATATGTCAAAGGTCACAGAGACTTCAGCATGTATTATGTACAACATATAGATTTTTCTTATTAAAACTGAAAAGCAAAAGCCAGGCATTTCACAGTCTCTATTATATTCCCATGTTGGTATTTCTGTACAAGCGACGGACATGCTGCAATGACTTGAAATCATACCATGCACACAGTGCAGTCTACATATACCCCAGATGGTGTTCAACTAGAAAACAGAGTGATCCATCAGGGGCGGTGAAGGTGGAGGAGATGAAGGGACGGATGAAAAGAGGAAGGGGAGGTGAGGTAAGAGGAGCGCTGGAGGAGATGGACAAGAGTTAGACAGAGGACAGGGAGCTAATTAAAGGTAGAAAAACAGGATTAACATTATTGTAGCGTGTCATTAGAAAATAACCAACAACATAACTATTAAAAATTTTGAAATATTTATTAGTTTGGTGAGGGGTTGAGATGTTGGAGATTAAATGTATTAATAACAAATGTGTAATAAAAACCTTTGCATGTATAAGACGGGAATAACAAAAAAATAAAAGAATTGACACAGGTGTCTGTGTGAAATATGTATGTGTCTGTGTGTGTGTGTGTGTGTGTGTGTGTGTGTGTGTGTTATACCTGCAATATCACACAGTTCAGCATCAGATGCACTTGCTAAAGCCTCTTCTAGCTCTGGCTCCAGAGTCACACTCTCTATGATGGGGTCCACCATTTTTTTGGGTATGAAGGCTTTGCCTGTAAAATAACATAACTTTATAATGTTATACCAAAATAATTTTTTTTCTCATTTTCTGACAAACAACACTGCTGTTCCTCTTTCGTCCAGAACGACAGTGAAAACAAACAGCCGTCGATCAGACAAAACACTGCATGGCATGTAGAAGTGTTGTAGAAGTGTTGACACTGGCAGGAACAGTACCAAAGTGCTAACCATTACATAGTGTTTGGCTTCTCAACTCCAGTGTATCTGGGTCATCTTAATAATAAGAGCCACCATGTTGACAGCAGCTACAGTGAAACATTTGATATCTGACCTCTTTTCTCTCCTGTGAAGGGAACCAGGTCCTCTCTGTCAGGATGTTCTTTGGCTTGTTTCTCCAGATGAGCCAGAAGGTTATCTCTCTGAAAAGTGCCTGTTGGAGCTTTCTTAGTCTGGTCCTTCTGCCGCATCCCAGCAGGCAATAATGCATTCTAAAGAATGGAGAGAGTAAATAACGAAGGTGTACATTTTTTAATGGTACAGGAGTAGATACCGGTACACAAGCCTAGAGTGCCCTCTAGTGGCTGTTAGTGTGAAAATAACAAACGTGAAATTATATATTTCAATATATATGTCACACCTGAGTAAGTAACCCTAACTGGTTGCAAAGTATGATCTATAATGTAAAAGTTTGTTTCACATTATTTATTTTACTTTAACATCATCACAAAATGCAGTTATTTTGCAAAAAATAAAATTAATGAACTTTTAATATACATGGGGTCCTTGCCTTGTGCTCGAGTTCCTTTTCTACGCTGAAACATAACTCGCTTTTCACGGTAAATTGAAACTCACATAAGTTTCCATAAGTACCAAACATAATCCAGAATATAAAAACATCACAGGAGTCTGACTTAAGCTTGGGAACCATAATGAAGGGCAGAAATAAAAAAACAAAACAACACAAATGAATGAAAGTGACTGCAGCAATATACCAATAAACTGCGTACACCTGGCGAATGTAAATTACGCCGTTTTCGAAGTATAGTGACGTGTGACAAGGTATTCGTCCGCTCTGCTCAGCAACTAGTTCCTGTGTGAAATTAGTTTAGAAAGACTTTCTTACACAATGTGTTAAAATGTAAACCTTTGGCTTTAGGGTAACTATAAATAGACTTTTTAATTACAATCATTAAACGGTGTGTACAGAAGTAGACCAATGAGAACACAGAGATATAAACATGTCTGGACAGTACTTTAGTGCTTTAGTTATTTTAGTCCATATCCACAATGTATGCTGAGCTCTTGGAAATGTCACTAATAGTTTCATATCTTATCCACCTCCTCAGCAGTCAGTAGTAATCTCTCCTGGAGTCTGTCACTTTGACTCCCCTCAACTCTCACCCTTCTATAATCTGTCTTCAGTATCTGCTTTAACTGGGAAAGTTAAATACACTTGAAATACACTTAAATACTATGAGGTAAATAGATGGTAAAATTGGCAGATGGAAGTAGTTCATTGATCCCAAAAATGAGAAGATCCAGTGTCACAGCAGCGTGGTACAGGCTGACCGACAATTAAAGATGTGATTGTTGGTCTTAAACAGCAGTGACGCAACAGTGACGCAATACAGTGTGTGCTACAACAGCATGTCCTGGACATACAAATAACAACGAGTGTCTGGACAGCCACAGTACAGCTGGCAGACACTGTGTTTTGCCAGGGGCTGACTGGAACTGATGTGGGAAAACCCACCAACATTAGACAATGAATCAAAGCAAAGAGGACACTGTACAGGCACAGCTGGGGCAAATGGACATAGTGCCTCCAACTTTCAGACACTCAATCTCTCTCTGTCCCACACACACACACACACACAGACGTCCTTACAGTCATCCCTTTGGCACGGAGAGTAAACCCAGGCTCTTTATAAACACCTGAATCAGTCGATCATCAAGAACTACTACAGCCGCCTGCACTATGAACAGGTCACTGCAGTTTTACATGATGACAGAAATATATTTTAAAATCAACTGCAGCTACAAACAGTTAGAAGTTAGTAACAGTTAGAGTTGATTGGATTTTGACTGCTTTTTTCCAAATGAGTGTACAGTACTGTACTGATAAGACACTGACACCACTGCTGCCTTCAAATCCAGTAACTCGACTCACTTGACTGACATCCAGCAGTGTTGTCCCCCTAGTGACTAACTGCTGACGGCACGTCCTACATTCTACAGTAAGCGTCCCCTTTTAAACCAGGAGGTCCTGGTCCATTGTTGGACATAGTCTGTTGTCCACATTTGTGTTAAGTTTCCGTCAACTACTGTAGTATTGTTTGGCTGCTCAGATAATCAATAAAGACTAAATACAAACAAACAATAAAAAATACTAAGACACTTAAAATATAAGTATGAAATCAATTTTGTGTGTAAAAAAAGGGTAACAATGGTGTCAGTACACAACAGCGGTGCCACACACACTGCCCATTAACTGTTCACCAAGATAGAGCTGCTTTTCCCACTAAAGTAATTCCCTCTAAAGAAAACCAGTAAAGCCACTGTTCACATTAGAGCCATTTACACACATGAAGTTCAAAGTCATTCCAATATAGTAGCACAGTTGCAACAGTTTGAATGGCTTAATATGTCCAAATATATTACTGCACATACTGTGCAATAAATATTACCAGTGACAAATTCCATGTACTGCATGTGTTACTGCATGTGTACTGAAGGGCAGTTAGTTACCTTGCCCCCCCCCCCCCCCCCCCCCCCCCCCCCCCCCCCCCCCCCCCCCCCCCCCCCCCCCCCCCCCCCCCCCCCCCCCGGCCTGTGCGACCCCATTAGTAACACTGACAACAACACAGAGACAGCAGCAGCTTCTTGTGGAGTCTATATTATAAACTTACATCAGGATCCAGCTCCTCTAACTCATCCTCTAATCGCTGCAGCTCTTCCTCTGAGAGTTTGTTCAGCAGCTCGTCCTCATCTATGTCCCTGTACTTGTCCATCTCCTTCCTCAGCACAGACATGATGAACACCTGGAAAAGCAGAATGAGAAATTAATTAAATAAGAAAATAAGAAAAAGAATTGATTTTCCCCAAAAGGTGTGAGGAATTCAGGGATCGCCAACCTGCTTGGGATGTAGAAGGGGCCAAAAAGTTCAGGATACGCTGAGTTAGAGAATGGTTAAACTATATTTTAAGCCTCAACAGTTAAGGTAAAAATGTTATGGTGAAACTTTTACGTATTGAAGGTCAAATAATCAGGATTAATGCTATGACAAGCCTTGCTTTCTGCTAAACTTCAAAAGATGACTTACTCTGAGAAATTAAGGACATTAGAGCATTTCCTTACCTTAGTCACTCGATATCTATATAAAAAGAAAATGTTGATATAAACCCAGAACAAGGAAGACACTTGGGGAAGGGGAACTTTTACCTGTGGGTTGGAAACACAAATAGTAACAGGTTAGAAAAACTCTGGGGAAGAGAAAGAGTTCACGACACGACAGTGCTGTGAAGGTTTTCCTTGTACTCACTTCATCAACATCAACGTAGTAGAATAACAGTAGAGAAGGAGTTCCTGGTTTACTATAAAATGTAGGGATCT